TCAGAAAAGTTTAGATATTTTCTCTTCTTATTTACAAAAATGGAAGATTTCTCCCAACGCTTCCAAAACTCAACTTATAATATTTCCACATAAGCCCAGGGCTTCCTTTTTGAAACCTAGTAGTAGTCACTATGAACGGAGTTCCAATTTCCTGGTCAAACCAAGTGAAATATCTTGGATTAATACTTGACCATAAATTAACTTTTAAAGATCACATTGAGGGCATTCAAGCCAAATGTAACAAATATATAAAATGTTTGTATCCTCTTATTAACACGAAATCCAAACTTTGCCTGACGAATAAACTTCTAATATTTAAACAAGTTTTTAGACCGGCCATGCTTTACGCTGTGCCAATATGGTCTAGTTGCTGCACTACCAGGAAAAAAGCACTTCAAAGGATTCAGAACAAAATTCTGAAGATGATTTTGAAGTTGCCTCCCTGGTACAGTACTACCGAAGTACATAGAATTTCGAATGTTGAGACTTTAGCACAAATGTCCAACAAAATAATTAATAATTTCCGGCAAAAATTGTTACAATCCTCAATTGCAACGATTAATTCCCTTTATACTTAGATAAGATTTAGTTTTAGTTATTTAGTTTTAAGCTATCAATTGTTATACTGACATGCAGGTTTAAAAAACCTGTTTAAAATACTGAATTGCCAAGACAGGAACAATGTAAAAACACTTAGATATATATCATAACAATTAAGGCTGGTAAGTTGCTGTAGTAACTGGAGCACCTAGGTTAAAAATGAAATGTAATTTATTTTGAAATTGGAACAAATAAAGAGTTAAAAAAAAAAAAAAAAAAAGCAACTGGTGAATGTCAACTTCGGCGGTAACCATCACCGATATGGTCATTCCCGACATTCATGACACTCATCTGCGCTCGTTTTGAAGCAGTTCCTGCTTCACTTGCTTATGCGAGTGTATTGGTGCGTGAGCCCAACGGCTTCCATTTAATTTTGCCAGCTTGGTTTAACTCACACAGTCGCACTTGCCGAGTCGAACTTGGAATGCGTAAGCATTGTTTTCATTTTATTCTGTCGTTTCGCTTTTTTCTCATCATTGTACTGCAGAAGTCTTCACTGTCTTCGTTGTGCTTTTCAGCATCAGCAGCGAGGGTTACAATTAGCCTGTGAGCAGCGACCATTACTGGTGATAGTCGTTTGCCATGGATCTACCCGTCACTGCGTGACAAAACGTTCTGTCAGCGATAGCGATAGTCGGTTAATGCGTTGACGACTTTCACTTGAGTGTCTTGATTTCAAGAGCAAATTTTCATTATGTCGTAAGTAACATTCGCACCGATCCGAGAAAAATAAAGTTTTGTTTTGATGACCGAAAAGTTATTCCTATTTCCAATTAAACACATATAATCTCATAGTTATAGCAATGTTTAACATATTTAGCCGGGTTTTAATCATACAAATGCAAATCGCTAGCTTTCATGCTAAGACATACTGGTTTTTGAGTCAAAAGTTACTATACGTCGTTTGGTGGCCCCTATTGTTACTGAAGTCAAAGTGTATTTACCAGGATATTCTGGAGAATTATCAATTACGTCTGCTTACGTGCAGCCCATTCATCATTTTTGAACCACCGAAATCATCTTAGCAACAAAACAGTTCGATTTATTCACTTTAATAATGAGAAAGCGAAACGACGAAAGTACACTTTTCACGGGTTTCTCAGTGCTGTTACTTAAGGCAAGCGGCATCTCCATAGAAATCGAGTGACTTAAGTAACATCGATAACTATTTTGATCGGAAGGTGATTACGTCAAAAAGCAATTCGACTGGTAAATAAATTTAAAAATGGGATGTGATCCTATATTCGGACAGTATATAGTGTAATAGCAGGAGCATCGATTGACACTGATAGCTTGACTTTGTTTACCTTTGTTACATTCGACGTAATGAAAATTTGCTCTTGATTTGTTGCATCACCGAAATATACCAAGGTAATCGAATTTAAAGCGCTTAAAGGATAATATTCCAATGAAATTCAGAGAAAAGTTTGATGGGACTTCTGAGGATAATTCCAAGGGCATTTCGAGAAGAATTTCTTTAGAATTCTGAGAAGAATCCCAACTGAATTTTCAGAAGAATTTAGAGGAGATTTCCATGATAATTCTAAGCAAAATTTAAAGACAATTCTATGGTCAATTGCATGGGAATTTTAACGAATTTAAACAGTATTGTGGAAGGATGCTTCAGTGAATTCTTTGGAATTTTTTGGAGTGTTCTGCATATAATGTTATGGTCTGTTTCAAATAAATGTTCAAGGATCTCTCGGAGACAATATCAAATTTGTTGTATCGTAATTCTGAGAAGAATGATAATGAACTCTCTGAAGCAGTGGCGTCACGTGAGAAAATTCACTAGTTGTGCACCTATTTTATTTATATTTTGTCTGTAACAGTAGAAGCCAATTTTGATGCATAATAAAAAAAATGGGATACAAATCTTTCGACGGGGGTACCTGCATTAAAAATAAACGAAATGATGATGGGAAACAGTTCTGCTACCAGTTTTGCTTACTCTTGCATAGAAACATTGATTTTCTTTTTAAGTCTCATGTTTATGATATTTGTCATCGTTACTCACATTCTGGCAAACGGTCTTTTCAGGAGGTCATCAACAATATCCTGTTCCATGATTCCTATTTAATTTTGCACTATGCTATGAACAATATTCCATCAATGCTCTGAGGCTACTGAATGAAATGCAGACATGGTAGTGAGAAAATTTAAAAATTTAAAAATTCGATGTGTGCGTGTAGGTAGGTATACAACGAATGACGGCTCTCCAAGATTCAATCAATTCAGAGAGAAACTCAAATGCGACGTTGCTTATACGTGCCAATTTATTCTCTTCTCTTTAAACTGTGCAAAGATAGAAGTGTACGAAATAAACACTAACACAGCGGCAATTATGCTTACGGGACTTCAATACATATACAACTGATATGGTTGTAAATACGAGCGCTTCTGGTGCACAAGCATAAGTGCTCAGACTGGGAGAACTTAGCATGCGGTGGCACGATGGTAACAGGAACTCACAGTCTACCAGTGTTGGTGAGTTCTTTGCCGTTAATGTTCACGAAAAGTTCACTATTTTACTATACAGACATTCAAAACAAAAAAATTTATCTGCGGATTTGAACAGTTTTTGACCTGTTTCATACTACCGGAAGGTGTATGCTGGTCACAAATGCCGTGCCAAACTGATTTCCTACTCAATTAATCAATCTTTGATGTGAAATTCGCTAATAAACACGAGGCGCATTTCTTATAGCAAACATGCCATAACAAAATGGGCATGGTTCGAGATGGGAGATGACAGGTGGGCAGGAACTCACGGTCTCCCAGTGTTGGTGAGTTCTTTTCCGTTAATGTTCACGAAAAGTTCACTATTTTGCTATACAGAAATTCAAAACAAAATTTTTTATTTGCAGATTTGGACACTTTTTGACCTGTTTCATACGACCGGAAGGTGTATGCTGGTCACAAATGCCGAGCCAAATTGATTTCCTACGCAATTAATCAATCTTTGGTGTGAATTTCGCTAATAAACACGAGGAGCATTTCTTATAGCAAACTTGCCATAACAAAATGGGCATGGTTCATTTAAGTAAACAAACTAACACTTCTTCCGACTGTGGCACCTCTCTTACTCGCCTAGGGCATGGTTCATTTAAGTAAACAAACTAACACTTCTTCCGACTGTGGCACCTATGTATTTTCCATCGTGATGCGGTGGCTTTGGTAGAACGAAGGCACATTTTCCTTGCTTGTTTTGTGTCGCTCATTCGCCATAGAAGCCCAAAAAGAGTATTGTCTGCACGTGGTAAAATCCCAGCGTGCCCGTACGTGAAAACAAGATCGCTATGCCTCGCTTCTGTTTTACGTACATTTCTTTCAGTGGTGGCTAAAACGGAGGTTGAGCAGCGATGTGGTAAACAATTCAGCTACTATCCAGTGATGTGGTGGATAATTCAGTTACTATCCATATGAAACCAATAAATAGGGGGGACAAAAATGGTTTTAATTGAGCATTAAATTTTTGCCTCTTAATTTTTATGAAATATAAATTTTACTTTTTGAAAATTTGAGACTGTGCAGTGCACGAGGTGCACATATGGACGAGACGCCACTGTTCTGAAGAAACATCATTCTACAGGAAATTCTTAAGAGCTATTTAAAAAATCCGGTAACGAGTTTTGAGCGTATTTTAAACATAGTTGAAAATAGATTTTTTTTTAAATTTCTGGTTTTGGTTCAAGAAGTCTCAGGAACTTCTATAGTTAGTCCGCGATTTCGTAATAAAATTCATTTTGATTACTTTTCCAAATTTTCTATTTTAAATCGAATTTAAAAAAAAATCATTTTACTGCTAGGATTAATGTCTGGAAATGGTTTCAGGAATTACCAAATCATACGAATGTCACTTTATGAGTCCTATTTGCAACGGTAAACATTTTTTTACATTAATAAATAAAAGATTGTCAATCGTGTAATTTTACATTTTAAAACAAGTACATATTTGTAGTGTGAAATTAAAAAAAGTATATAGGGTAAAGAACTACTTCGGCCTAAGCGCCCATTTTGGGCCTATCAAGCAAAAATCATCCAATAAATCAATGATTTCGGCGTTAACAGGCAAAGCTGCGCTAGATTAAGAAAGACTAAGTGCGGGTTGTGCTTAATAGGCCGGAAATGGGATAGTTAACCCTATCTGAATGGAGTTTCACGAACTTCGTACACTATGTGCGATATAAGGAACACCTATATCTAGCATCTATCATATCTGTATGCAAAGAAAATTCGTTAACATGAATGTTTTAAGTCGTGGACATACCTTTACTTTCTGCGGATGCGGGCATTAATTAATAGAAATCCTCATGCTGAAATTCTCAGAAGTAATTGCTTAACAACAACATTACATATATCATAGTCTAACGCTTTTCCGCCCTTCTTCCATTTTCCAGTCTGCCCAGCGTAACAGCGACCAGCTAGGTAACCAAGCCAAATTAACCCAACTGAAGGATGACCAGGAGGAGCTGCACAACAAGCTCGAGAAGGAACGGGACCTGTACGAATCCTACATGTACGAACTGCTGGCCGAGGAGGAGAACATTGCCAACTACGTCAAGGAGTATGTCAAACATCAGGAACTGTATTACACCTCCGCCCTGCGGGAAATCCAGAGCACCATCAACAGCATGGACGGTCTATTCCGTAGGTGTTTGTTTGCATGACGGTTTAATGACTCATATTGATTGCTCTCCTCAAATATTGCAGGACGGAACAACAAACAAATCTTTCATACGCCTTTGCGAGAGCACCTGAAGGCGACGGATCGCAAAATCGCTTACGTCATCGAGCTTTGCGTGTGCTGCCTACTGGAGAAAGGTCTCTACGAGGAGGGACTGCTGCGGGTTGGCTGTGGTAAGTGGGCGATTTTGTTTTCCTATGATGTGAGTGGGGTATTGATTCGATGGTGTAAAACCGAGAATAAGTCATCATCATCAACGGTCCGCGCGCCGTATTCGTGACCGCAAAGACTTAATTGAGATTAAAATGTGTGCCTCTTTTCGTTTGGTCCAACACCGTTGTCTATTAAATTGATGGTGTGAGAAGTATTTATAGATGGATGATAATTACCTATCGCTAGTTTGCTTGCATCGTTGCAACTGCCGGGGAATGACGAGTGGGTGGGTTGTTTGGAAGCCGGTTTTAGCGCATCATCGTCAGCGAAGCGCGTATCAGCAGATAACTATTTACCATAGAAGTGCAAGCACACTCGGTTCTGTTTTGTGTGATTTTGTTTAGGCTGGGCTGGGTGTTTATCCGCTATCAGCTTTGAGCAGTAAACACGTGCAATTAAATGGTATTCTATGATAATAACGTGATTGCGGTTTGGTATATGCTAACCGGTTATTTGAAATCACATTACAATTTTCAACGATATTAAAGTAACCAATCCCCGCATTACTTGACTAATAGTCTTCTCTATTCCAGCATCCTCCAAGCTGCGACGAATGATCTCCGCAGTAAATGCAAACTACGTAACTCCTCCGCTGTCGGAAAAGTACGCCGACCCACATGTGATAGCCGGAGTGCTGAAGAAATACCTCCGAAGCCTACCGGATCCGCTGCTGACGTTCGAATTCTACCCGGACTTTGTGGCGGCTGCCCAGAAGCAAAACGAAACCCAGCGAAAGGCAGCGATCCTGAACATTATCAATCAGCTACCGAAGGAAAACTACGACAACTTGCGATACCTCACCAAGTTCCTGTCCTATCTGTCGGAGAAGAACCAGGAGAACAAAATGTCCCCCCAGAACATTGCAATTGTGATGTCTCCCAATCTGCTGTGGTCGCCGAATGAGAATGAAAACTACATCGATCAGGTCAACAGTACGGCGACTGTCAACACCATCGTGGAAGCGTTGATCGCCGATTGGGGTTTCTTTTTCGATGGCGATGTGAATTTCTACGTCAGCATGACCAGAGATACGCTCTTCCCGGACAACGGCGGGTTTCCGGTAGATAAAGACTTGCCTGTACGATATGTTCCTAACGAAATGATGTCGAGATCGATGTTCGTCACGCCAACCACGGGTAGCCAAGACGAGGTGCGGTATTATAACAGTGGAGGAGGAGGAAGCGGCGGTGGCGGTGGAGGAGGAACGTACAACAACAACTCCCAGAAAGCGTCTACATCACATTCCCGCAGCAGTAGTCACGATACTAGTCTTATTCTAATCAACAGTAACGATCAGCTCAACAAGCACCGAAGTCAGTCGAACAGTTCCCTGTCGGATCATTCCAGTCCACCACACGAAAGCAGTCCAAAGCCCACGGTACGGAGGAAACACAACAAACAAGCTGCGCCAACTCCGCCGGACAGTCATCACAAAAGCAGCACCGGTAGCAACAGCAGCAGTAATTCCCGGGAGCTAAACAACAAGCTCCAATCGACTTCATACTTTAAACAGCTGAACAACAATGATCATCACCGGGATCGGGAGGACGAAGGATTCCAATCGTTACAGCATCACGCGTACAAACAGGCCCAGCAAGAGTATGCCAACGACCGGCAACCCATGATCCGTGCCGAAAGTCACGACAATCTACTGAAGTTGAAGTCGACGTCGTCGTCGACGGCGGCGGCGGCGGCGGTGGCAAGCATTGGAGACAAAATGCCTCCACCGAGGCCGGCAGTGGTCAGCATTGGAGACAGCCAGACCCTGAACCGAAGCAAAGGTCAGAACAATCTGCATCAGCAGCACCACCAAAACAGCAAACAACCAAATGCTCCCAATTGTGATACTTCTAGCAGTATAGGGTAAGTTGAATCAGTCTTAAAACAATATTTCAAGCGTTCAGAATCATACGGGCTTAAGTTCGATGATCGATTTTCTTCATCAATTTTCTCGTGGTAGTTCCGTAAGGTGCTATAATTTTGCGCAGTTTTGGTAATTTCTAAAATTATTATAAATTGTATACCACTTGAATTGAGCTGTACATGGAGGTAGGTATTAACCACTTGTGTATGGGAAAAATATAAATTTCGACAAAATTGTAATATACTTATTTTTTTTGGCGAAATGCGGAATTCGGCGCTGCGCAGAATTATGTCACTCTGCGGTACTACTACACTTAACCAAATGCTCTATTTTTTTTTACAATACAATGATGTAGAAGATTGTATTGGCTAGCAAAAGGAACAGCATACGTACCTGCAGCTGCAGCTAGGTCCTTATGATTCGGAGCGCTAGATTTTATTAGAGAAAACCGTGCAAACTAAAAGCATTCTTCCATTAAGTATTTGATGAATGTTAATAATGCACGGAGAGCAAGTTGTTTCAGCGAGGGATGTTCTTCAAACAAAATCGTAGCACTATTTAGATAGTATCACAGTTTTTAAATCGAATCTGTATGAGATGTCCGTTGCTGAAGCATGGTTTTATAGTCAGTCTGAACCCATTCAGGTTTGCGCGCTTTTCAGAAAAGTTTCCATTAAGCGTAGTGCTGATTTGAAGTACATTTACTATAAACAGTTACCCCAAGTGACACTCTTAACCCTTTCCTTCCCATGATAGTACAGGTGATCCGCAAATTTTCGGTTCGTCTCATGTTTGTAAACAGTCAGTACTTATTTAAGCTTCCTTGTGATTCTCGTCCAGATGTATTCTTGCGAATTCTACTGAGCAACTGAAAAAATAGTATTTATTGATTTATATAAAAATATGTGGTTTCAATAATTTTGGACTATATGAAATATATTTTGTTCTAGCACTTTTTCCAAAAATACATTGCCTAAACGTTCCACACAGCCTTAAATTATCGAATCCGTAAAATAATTTTTGTTAAAATCAATAAATTCAATTGTTTTTCAATAGTTGGTCAGTTGAAGATGCAATAATACATATGGAAAATGGAACTATGGTCGTCGCTAGGAATGCCCCTTAGCTCAGTCGATTAAGGCGCAGCTACAAAGCAATACCATGCTGGAGGTGGCTGGGTTCGATTTTTCCGTCCGATCTTGGAATTTGAGTTGGAACATTTCTCGACTTCCCTGGGCAATAGAATATGATTGTACTTGCCACACAATTATGCTAATGAAAAAATGGTGCAGGCATCGAAAGCTAACAATTAATAACTGTGGAAGTGCATGTAGAACACTAAGTTTTGAGAGCACGCAAAAGCAAAAATGCAATAATCAATAAGCTTGAAATGCGAAGAAGAAGAATGGCAGATCGTGGCATGTGTCAACTCAATGAAGGTGTTAGGGATCTATTTAACATTTTTTTTTAAATAATTCGTTTATTTTTCCAGGCTCATTTGCTGTAGCTTTGCGGAGCCGATATTCATTGTTTAGACTACAAAATTACTTAAAACTAACGTTAGTAAAGCGGGGGCCGATTACTCGCGGCTATCTCGAGGTTAGGGGTAACAAATTGTAACAAATGGATGGCAGGGTAGGGATTGTGAACACAAGGTTTGGGGAGCAATGTGCTCTTGATCTCTAACTAGGCGATACTCTGATGAAAAAGACAAACATGGGGGTACACCGATGGGCAGCTAACAACTTGGGAGAACACAAGATGACACTAACTACTAAATCCTCAAATCTATCCGTTTTAAAAACACATAAATTAAATTCAAATAGTCGAGGTCTCGGCTCGCCAAGACATCTCTAACGCGTATCGCGGGTTGTTTTCCTCGGGCCCTGAGGGATGTGGATAACTCAGATCTGGCAACACGGTGTAAGGTACATGACCAAACAACATGCTCGATATCGTGATAACCACTGCCACACGCACATAAATTGCTGCCTGAGAGCCCAATTCGATAGAAATGCGAGTCTAACGAGCAGTGATATAGAATGTGACCATCTTCCCAATTCACCATCATTCCATTTTTGTTGCCAGCTGATGAGGACTTGCTGACGAGCAATGGAGAAAAATTCGATGAAGGCGATTTGTCGCTCAAAAATATCGCCTTCCATAGCGCCCACTTTAGCCAATGAGTCCGCTTTCTCATTACCCGGAATTGAGCAATGAGATGGGACCCAAGCAAAGGTGAAAGTATAGGAGCAGTTAGATAAAGCACTCAGTTTAGATCGTATTTCAGGCAGGAAATACGAGGAGTGCTTCATCGGCCTCATTGAACGAATAGCCTTCAATGAGCTAAGACTATCCGTAAAAATGAAATAATGGTCAGAAGGTAGTGAGGCAATTCGCTCTACTGCGTAAAATATAGCTGCGAGTTCCGCAACGTATACTGAGCATGGTTTCTGCAGTTTATAGGAGGCGCTATGAAATTGATTAAATACACCAAATCCAGTGGAAGCATTTATGGTTGACCCATCTGTGAAAAATCTTTTATCGTTATTTACATGGTGGTACTTGATTGCAAAAATTGAGGGAACAACCATCGACCGGTGGTGATCTGGTATTCCATGGATTTCTTGCATCATGGTCAGATCAAAATTTACAGAGGAACTATAGAAGGCTTGAAAGCAATCACGATTGGAGATTAATAAAGAAGGACCAACCTCCAGCGTCATGTACTCATAGTACAAACTCATGAATCTTCTTTGAGGATTTCGGTCGAGCAGCTTCTCAAAGTGTTCTATTACCAAAGGATTCATTACTTCACAACGGATGAGAAACCGGAAAGACAGCTCAGCGAAACGATCTGTCAGTGGGAGAACACCCGCGAGTACTTCGAGGCTCATCGTATGAGTCGAGTGCATACAGCCTAGCGCAATACGAAGGCAACGGTATTGAATCCGTTGCAGCTTAAGGATGTGTGTTTTTGCTGCGGATTGGAAGCAAAAGCTGCCGTACTCTAAAACCGAAAGGATGGTTGTTCGGTACAACCTAATCAGATCTTCCGGGTGTGCTCCCCACCAAGTTCCGGTAATTGTACGAAGAAAATTAATTCTTTGCTGGCATTTTTGTTTCAGATACGCAATATGTTTTCCCCATGTGCATTTGGAATCGAACCAGACACCTAAATACTTGAAAGAAATACTTTGAGTGATTGTTCTACCCTTTAGTTGAAGCTGTAACTGTGCAGGATGATGCTTCCTAGAAAAAACAACCAACTCAGTTTTCTCCGGAGAGAATTCGATACCCAGCTTTATAGCCCAAGTAGACAAATTGTCTAAGGTATCTTGCAATAGTCCTTGCAGGTCCGGTGCACTTGGCCCTATAACGGATACAACGCCGTCATCTGCAAGCTGCCTTAGCGAGCAATTTTCATCAAGACAACCATCAATGTCTTTTACATAAAAATTATAAAGAAGGGGGCTTAAACATGAGCCCTGGGGGAGGCCCATGTAACTAATTCGTGAAGTTGTCGAGTTTCCATGAGAAAAGCTCATATATTTCTCAGACAACAAGTTGCTCAAATAGTAGGTGAAAGCCCACTATCGTGGAGTTTATCCGAAAGGACCTCTTCAACATCAAAGCTATCGTGGGCACATCATATAACTCACGTTTAACAACATACACTACCATGTGTTACTTTCCTCCGAAGCATCGCAGACCAATGCTGTGATGCTTCAAATTAATTAATCCTGTGTCCGACCGATTTTAAAATACAGTAATATATTTGTAGCACAAATCCCGAAGAAGGTCACACTGATCTTGGATCGCATCCAGTACCGTGGACCCCCGGTAATCTGATCACTTTTCAGTTTGAACCCCGTTAATCTGTACGCCGTGCAAACTGAAAATTGCTCAAACATCATTTAGCACATAACATGGAGTGTGAAATGGAACGCAGAATCAAAACATAACAGCAAATAAGGCTAACTCGCTTTGCTGGCGGTTATGGGGTTACTAGAAGTGCAAATTAAAAATCAACCCCGTTAATATGCACGACGTGTAGTTAAAATAAACGGGAGTTCATATGCATATGGCATATGCCTTGGTTCGACTAAAACAACCCACACGGGTTTCCTTGAAGTAACGGCCGGCTTAACGTCGAGAAATAAGTGCGATACGGTGCGATACAAAAGGCTGGGATTAGAATTTTGGCAGAGGCAATTTGGTCAATGTCAAATTTTTAGTCTTGATTGGTTCTCGCTCTTGCAGCAAATGACGATCGATAGAATTATTTACATCATCGTTTGTGATGATTTGCGTTTTGTGGCCGAACCAATTCCTTATGCATTTCAATTTAGGATGACAATCATTCTACAGAGATCGTTATGTATTTCAACTGAGGTCCGTTTACTTCTCGTATCAATATTCATCCTGTAGCCGAGAGGAGCATCATCTGATTACAAAACAACCGTCAACCGGCTGCAGCTATCGTGTGACAAAGCGATTTCGAGGTTTCGATTTGAATGGTCTGAGGTTTCATTCGAACAGAGGATGATGTTTTGGTACAGTGTACCAACGAACGATTTTTGAGTCCATGATGAAATGGCTATATGGAAATGTAAACAATCGAATTATAAATCTAATTTAAACCATTTGCAAGTCATACTATTATTAAATTGTTGTACTCTGAGCGCTGTATGTTTTACAGCCAATGTTCATATAAATATCATCCTTAACTTGGATGACAGTCATACGGATGCTCATCAGCTGATGAAAAAAATCAACCATTAGGCAATCATCCGAAATTCGAAAGCATATTGTTAAACGGCTCGGGCAATGCAATTATCATTCGAAATATTCCGTTTTTTTCAGTGTGAGAGGAGTCGTCATTAACGAGCAAGTTGTTAGCTAAAAAGGATATTGGTTTTGAGGATTGTTATGAGCTAAGCGGTTTTGACATAACATATCCTGTTAAACCAATTGGAATAAACAAGTGGCAAATTTG